CCAACATTTGATTGTTTGGATGCATTAAGCAGTCAGTAAATCCAACCAGTTAATAAAAAGTCAAAGAAAAAGAAAGCTATGCCTGTTGCAACACAGCCAAAATATTTGATTCTTCACACAAGTCCCACCTATGACAAGGCAACAACCAATCAGATTCAGGCCAGATTCATTCAAGATCAAATGGGAACAAGAGAACAACATCGATACAACAGGTGCTTCTGTCATGTGCAGCAGACGGACAGTTACGCGTGCAGTAAATACATGAGTATTGACTAAAGGGCGTGCAACTGTCTCCGCAGTGGATGGCTGGCGGCGCACACGGATCATCTGGAATTTTATGTGCATTGGATTTCTCCTCTGCCCCGCCCCTTTACTGGACCGTCAGCAGGTCCTGTGTCTATTCACCTCATTGGGAGACGTGAACGTACGAACAAATTAGGACTGATGCTCAACAGTCACCAACGCAAATGGTATTATCCTAAACTATCTATTTCAGTACATTCTGCTACTTTATGGCACATTTTTCAGACTTGAAAAATGCACTTGACAAGTCTCAAAAACTCCCTTCCTTTCACAAGATCTGACAGCTTCGGTATCTCTCGTCACAGCCAACTATTCTCATGACAGCACAGCAACCATGTTGTTGCGAGGGAAAAAAAGAGGCCATGCCCACTTACAAACTGGAAACGTATGTTATTTCTTATCAGCGGTGTAGCTTGTAATCCCTCATCTTTGTTAAGGAGCATCTTAAGGACTAAAACTACACTTGTTGTCCCTTCTGTGCGGTCCCTGTGGGGCCCCTCCAGCCTCAACATTCTGCCTCTTCTTTCCCATCTGTCACTGCTTCATTCTGAAGCGTTGACTGGCAGCAACAACTACAACTTAGCAGCCAAAAACAGTCTGAATCACACTCTAACCTTGTCGCATGAATGCCTGAGAAACACACATTTACATGCACGCACATACACACACACAGAGCACACAGCACGCAGGCGAGCTGCTTTCTGAAGTACAAAGAGAGGAGGAGACAGCTGCCAGTCCACATGCTGAATAATGAATCCCACTACCTGCTCTTCACCTCCGCTCAGACTATCAGTCCTGACCCCTCTCTTTCTCTCTCTGTCTCCGTTTAAGTGCAGACTTCATTAAAAAACTAAAAGACTGGTGCTTCTTGGAGGAGAGGGAAATCTCTTTTCTCCTCTTCCTCCCCCTCTCCACCGCGTTTCTGTGTGAATAGGAGACCCCTGCGAGCCGCAGGCGAGAACAGATGAATTGAGAGGCTTTTAATTTGCTGCAGACAGAACAGAACAGAGTCCATTTAATTCTGCCAGCAGAGGCCATGTCGGCAAAATGCTGACAATATTCTTTATCTGGTCCAAACACACTGGAAAAGTGTGAGTCACTCCAATTACAGGCATTATCAGCTGCACTGTTCCACCAAATGGATGGAGAGAGAGCAAGAGTGAAGTGAGGGGTTAGAGGAGCGAACAGAGTGGAAAGAAAGTGAGGGGTGAGGAAACACACAGTGGGTGAGGAAGATAATGAGCAGGGGGTAAAGAGAGGGAGAGGAAAAAGCCCAAGGAAGAATTAAAAAAAAAAAGAGAAAAGGAGTTCTCCAGCCCCGAACATGTCCCCCCTCCGTCCTTCTTTTCTTTTTGTTCTCTGCTTTCGTTCCTCTCCTTCTAGCTGTGAAGTCTTTCAGGCAGCATCTGGAGCTCGTGTTTAAGAAAAGCAGTGAGTTAATCCTCAACTTGGACCAGAACAGAAGAAGAGTAGAAAACTACTCACAGCCTTAAAGGGATAGTTCCAATATTCTGAAGAAGAAGGGCTTTTGAGGCAGAAGCTAATCTATGTAAGGTCAAAAATCATTTTAAAAGTACTCTATATTTGGGGATATTTTTTTCCAGCGTCATCTGATGTCACACAGCCATTTTGATTTGCACCATGTTCCTCTCAACTGTGCAACGTCTGTGTTCCTACACAAAACATACTAGTCCCAGCTGGAAACTACAGTAATAACACATTATCCACACAATTAAAAGCGTGAGACAATGGCAAATCATTAACTCTGCTACATGCAGATGCAATGCTCTGTTATAGATGCAAGCCAAGCTACGATCTGACTTTACTTTTTCTTGAGGTTTAAAGAATTTTTATTTCTATAAAGTTATACACCGATGGTCATAATAACAATTTAGCTGATTGCATGAAAATAAATCAGAGTTTGTCCAACAGGGGACTCCACAGATACAATAAAAAAAAACTATTTTCTGAATCAGCAGTAATGTCTAAAAGCTTGCATTACATTGATTAGACACAGAAACAGATAATTATCAGTAAACAAAAAATAAAAAAACTTCTGACATAAGTGCATTAAACATTATTCACTGATGGGCCGATGTCTCTTAACAGGGCCAATATCAGATATGTTCAACTGATGCATCAGTGCATCACTATTCTTCAGTCATACAGTCATTTTACTGAAAGCTGCTGCAAGGCAAGAGAGAGAGCGCTGTCTAAATTTCACAAATTGCAAGGAAATTGCCAACGTATTTATACATGAAGTTTGCCCGCATTTTATGTCAATAAAAACAAGGAGTTACCAGATATTTGGTGCTTAGGACTTCTATTTTTGTTGTCTTGGTATCTTAACAGGTATTGCTCCTATATGATTTTTACCAGTATCATATCTGTAAAATTATGTTATCATGACAGCCATAGTACATAGTAATTTAACTTTTACTGAGTACCCCTCAGATCCACACTTCAAAAATCCAAACTATGCCTTTACCCAGAAAAGCTTTTATTCTACAGCTCCACATATTCAAAGACGTGTTCCTGTGGTTTTGCATTGAGTGTTTTAACCAAAATGTGTCAAGAAATAGAGTTAAGAGTTCATGTTCTGTCTGCTAAATTGCTCCTCTGAGAGCACGACTCACTGAAGGAGTCGTCCAACCATGCCAGCAAAACAGCCACAAGTGAACGGGTGAAAATGAGCAGGAAACGAGAAACTGTGAGGCTGAAAATGAAAAATCTGCTGCAGCTCAGCTCTCCAGACTTCTCTAAGGCTGCAGACATATGGTCCTTCCTCCAGAGACTCGAGGAACAGATCTACATCTAAGCTGCACTCCCTGGAGGGGTGAACAAGCTAATTTATCCCCCCCAAAAAAGTCAATGTCTGGCTTCTGCTGTTTAAACTCCCTGCCTCGCTCAGACACACGCACAGACACAACATGAAGCAACATCAGACGCAATCGCAGACGCTGTAGTGTCGTTTTGACCTGGAATCAGCCCGAGCTAAAAGTAGCAGCAGGAGGAGAGAACGTAGCTTAGCGTGTCTGGATTTAGACGCCATCTGAAGCCGAAGAGGGAGGAGAAGAGAGAGGGGAAGGAGCGGTAAATTGGACGTTCGTAAATGGGACGCTGCCAACGAGAGCAAGTGGATGATGTGTGTGTGTGTGTGTGTGTGTGTGAATCTGTGTGTGTGTGTGTCTGTGTGTATATTCAGGATGCTGCCAACAGGAGCTTAATGCCCAGAAATCATCTGCAGCTACAGTAAAGTCTGCCAGGCGACAGGAAAGAAAAAAGAGAGAGACAGAAAAGGGGGAGGAGGATGAGGGGGGGGGGATCCTCACCTCTTTCTCCCTCCTGCCTCCCACTCTCAGGGTAATTGTGTTCTGTCCATCAGGCTCAGAGTTAGATTAGCGGCTGCACTCATTCAGCTCTCCTTCCATCTCAATAATGAACAATCATACAGACCACCTCTGCACTAACTCTCTTTTACCTGTGCACTGTCCGTCAGCTGAATCCCCCCTGCACCCCCTTCTCTAATCCTCCACCAACACCACCTCTGTATCTGTAGATCTGCACTGTAGTTGACCAAAGTTTAGTGGAAGTGTTGGAAAAGTTCTCCTTGCTCTGGATCGTCACAGAAAAACTAAAAGTCTGTCCAGAGCATCACCTTGTCTGTCTCATTCCTTTTTTATCTTGTTAATAAATCTCAGGGTTGCGACGATTGCTTAGCTAGCCTAGCTTATCATCCTTACAGGACCTGCTGCATATAACGACATGTGGCCTCGCTGTCATGACGAAAAGGAAGTCAGCGTTTTCCAAAGAGCTCCAGGAGAGTTACAGCGTCCCTCAAAAGGTACTAGCCAATGAATATGCTGCTTTTTCACACACTGCAAGTGTCCAGTTTCATTTGCCCTCGATGAAAATGTCAGAATTCAAAGCAATATTAAAACAAGCAAACACAAATGGAGGGTACAGGCTAGAAGTGACCACCTTTATTGAGGCAAACGGCAAATCAGCTGGCCATCAGCTGATGCGGCTACGTGAGATCAGCTGTTACCAAAACTCTGGAATGATAACAGATCGTGACTCCGTGGCCTGTCTGAACTAACGCCACGCTCCATGCATGTGGGTTTGTGGTAAAACTAAAGTGTCCATATTTGCAGGTTTGAAAATATGGTCACCCTATTTCAGTGACTATGAGTTGGCTTAGAAATCTGTTGTTTGTTTCCAGACAGCCCACCCTGAGACCAGTACAGAGCAGCTTATCAACACATGTATCCTCTGAGCTGTTAATGAATCACCATGACTGTGTGTACCAAAGGTTGTCCTCTGTTACACTCCTCTCTATCTAAGCCGAAATTCTTTATTGAAATGAACAAGCAGGCGAAACGCACTGCTGCTAGTCTTAGTTTGAAATGTCAGCTGACAGAGCACACGTGAAGAAAACAGAGAGAGGGATACATGTCAATTAAAGAGCAGATAAACTGAGAACAGTGTCAACTACAGAATCTAAAAACACGAAGCATGAAACGTACCAGTTTCTAGATCTGCAGGTTAAAAAAAGCGTCCTCCAGTAGAGTCGGAGCAACTCAGGAAGAGACAAAGAGCGGTGAAGAATGAAACAGAGAGGAACTGCAATGAACTGAATACAGGGTGAAAGATCAACTTTAAGAGGTGGGAGGAGGAGACGTAACAACCTGAGTGTGTATGTGTGCGTGTCCAACAGAGACAAACAAGACAGAGCAGTGAGTGTGAGCTGTGGGTTAAAGTTCAGTGTCAAACCTTGATAACATGATTCACTCTGAAGTCCAGTGTCGTTTATCTCTATGTGACATGTAGTGTCAGATCAGCAGGGGATGATTTATGATTGATGGAGGATTGAATGCATGAAAACTGCTCAACAGACTGAGCAGGAGGGTTTATGATTAAGCTGCAGATGAGGGGAGAAGTTAGACAACAGTCATATCAATAATAAATAGTAGATTCATTTTGTCTTGTTTACCGGGAACATCTGAAGATGTCACCCACATAGCCACAAACTGTTCAAGGCAGGATCGCCATGTGCTTTTCCACATATTCCACTTTGCATTTCGTATTAATCAATGAACATAAATATGGAGGTGTTTTGCCTTTAAGCTGGCAGCGAAGTTAGAGCAGAGTCCACGTCTGTTTAAATTGGGGGCTGTAAAATGGGTCCTAAAAAGAAGACAAAGGAGTAATGGACAGCTCTCTTACAACAACCAAATATTTCATTCCGTTGCAGAGGAAGAGAAACCACTTTATAACAGAAGTTCTGTTTAGAGAACAGTGTTTCTGTCCACAGTGTCAGCCATCAGTCTTAATGATTCCCTTCCTCTCATCCATTCACCCACCTTTCTCATCCTTTCATCTCGTTTGTCTAATTCTGGGCACAGTCTGGGCCGTGATCAGCTCCAGCTGAGTTATGCTGAGTCTCTCTCTGCCCTGCAGTAAGTCCACCCTTCCAGACCAGCCAACTGACAACATCCTCTTCCATCACAATCATAATCTTAACGTACATTCATCCGTCTCATAACTCGATCTATCATTAAATATCTAAAATGCATATTGTTGAGGTGTTGTCCTTGCTAGGGAACATTTTCGATTGACGATGACGATTGTTAACTGTTTTTCCATGTGGAAAATGAGACGCTGACGCTATTTGATAATAAAAAAAAAATAAAAAATAGACAAGAAGACAATAATGTTTTGTATTCGTTAACTAGACGAGAATGGACTCAAACATTGGTGGTGGTCTATCAGGCGTTTAAAACCCTCAGTGTACTGTGCGTCTTATCTGTCCATACAAATACAAGCAAGAGAGAGGAGATGTGAGTGTATAGTTAACTAGACTAAAACTATAAAACACCACACAAGACCACAGATGTTGTGCAACTCAACACCCAACCCAGTGTCCATTACAACCACACATCAGCAGGGCAGCGGTGTTCTGGTGTTGTGTAAGTGTGAGGAGAAAAGGCAAAACTTGTAAGATAACAGATCAGATGCATGGACTTGCAAGGTGTCAAAGGTTTCACAATGTTATCGTCTGACTCAAACAGCTGTCAGTGCAGCATTAGTTGCAGCCTTATTCCTGAATAAGATCCATAGCATTACGTTCAAGTATTTTATACAGATCTTTAAAGCTGCTGCAGAGGGATGAAATGAACAACAAGGAAACTCTAAACCAAAGAAAGTGTCACAGATCATTACATCAAAGCTTTACAAGTGGAGTGCAGAGATAAAGGCTCCAGTCACCTGTATGAACAGATTGTGTGGCATCATGGGTCGGACCAGTTTTTACCTGCAGAGAGGCTGCTGTCAACGTGCACAATGCTTTCATTAAGGTACACAGATCAAGTTGTTTACATCATCGTTGCTTCACAGTCAGTGTTCTTTTTGATTCTGTAAAATATCTGAAACAAGTTCTCTTGAAAGAGAAAGGTAGTAGCCTCTGACTATGATTAAGATATGGTTGAAGTGCCTTGTAAATGTGTGTCAAAACGTTGCAGATCCTTTTCATTTCAATGTGAGGTTGGTTCTTTTTGCAGGCTTATACCTTTTTATATGGAAACAGTTATTTCTTATTTGTATTATGATTTTGCACAAATAAAGGACTAAATGACTCAAGGTATGAGATCACAGCTCACCAAACTGTCCATCAGCAGAGCTAAGACATGACAAAGCAGGGCTGTGCTATTAAGAACCTTTCTATAACATATCTATAGATATAAAGCTTATCCCTCACAAGACATCCGCACCATTATATTTCAGGCGTGTCTCTTGAGATGAAGCAGAGTGGGAAACTGAAGTGGTTAGCACATGTAAACAGGCCTCACAGTGGTCTGCACAGCTGTCTGCTGGATGAAGCAGCAGCAGACTGCAGCCGGCCTGCAGGCCTGTGAGGCCAGCCGTGCAGCTCCTACATCAGGCAGACAGCCAGGCCTCCAGCCTGCACAGCAGCACTCTGCAGGGGGGGAGACATGGAAACAGAGAGCGTCTCTCTGAGCTCCACATGGCTCTCTGCCTGCCTCCATCACTCGAAGGAAGGATCAGCAGAGGCCTCAACACGACAAGGTAAACACACACTCTCTCAAACCCAACAATCCCCTGCCAGAAAGAGGTCCCCCCAGCCCACACACACACACACACACACACACACACACACACACACACACACACACACACACACACACACACACACACACACGCACACAAAACTTGAAAGTCTCACATGCACGTGCAAATTAACCCAAAACCACGCACAAAAAGACACACATGCGTTCCAGCTAACCTATTTACAGACACGGGTCTGCAGATATCAAAGCTCTCACTCTCTGCAGGGAATTCCTCCTTTCTCATGTTTTAAAGGGAAATAGATGAAAACGAATCTCATTCTCCCTGCACCTCCCCTGTGTGTGTGTGTGTGTGTGTGTGTGTGTGTGTGTGAGTGAGTGAGTGAGAGAGAGAGAGAGAGAGAGAGAGAGAGAGAGAGAGAGAGAGAGAGAGAGACTCCTGCCTTGTTAATGTGCTAAAATGTAAATTGGTCCTGCTCAACAATGTGTATCTCTTCTCATGCTGGTGATGTGGCTTTGCTGAGGGAGGTGGATACGCCTTTATTAACGAACCTGCACACTTGTTCCACCTGTCTGTCTGTCTGTCTGTCTGTCTCAATCTGTCTGTCAAACCCTATTTGACTAGCAGTCTGAACTTCTCTGTCAGCAAACCTAAAACAAACTCTCTGAACTCTTGCATTGCATTGAAGATGAGACAGATAATTTTTGTCATTCATGCTTTTATTCAGCTCTGCTGCAGCTTTTCTCTTTTTTTGCTTTTCAAAAAGCATCAGCTCAGATGACTTCACGCTGGTGTTCATTTTAATGACAGCAACTATGACTAAGTAAGTATGTTCGTCAGAGACCTATTTTTCTAAGACAAGACGCTGAAAAGAACACACCAACGTCATCAAACAAAAGCTAATTATGACTTTATAATCACAGAACATTGTTGAGGAACTAAGATTAGCCTCAAGAGATTAAAGATTCAAATAAAACCTTCACCGAGATCTCTCTCACAAAAAGAGAAGACAATATACGGGAGACAGGGTTTTGTATGCAGCAGGTCCTGTGCACCTCATGAGGACACACATTTGGAGTAACTTCAGCTTCAAATACTTCACATAAAAAAACCCTAGAACTCTGAGATGAAAATGTTTGCACAGCTTAAGTTATTGGTATTCTTAGTTTTTATAATGCCATATTTTGTCAGCTCCTCAAATACTTGATATCCCTAAAATCTGTAACCCGAATTTAAATTGTATAAATTCTGCAGCAGCTGTTATGTTTTTTTTTTCTGTGGATCCATTGAAAACAGGATTATGTGAACAAAGATCATCCATGGATAGATAAAGCCTCCTGCATGTTTTCACCCCGTTTCAAACAGCACATAACACAACGTCATCGATGAACAAACAATGTGATGACGCAAAAGATCGGAGCCTTAGCTTTGCGCTGCCAAAAAGAATGAGTTCTCCGTCTATTATCATGTTTATTTCAGATTAGCTGAAAATGAGATAATGCCAGGGTGTAGCCGTCCTGATTTACACAGCACTGAAAGGAACGTCGTGAAGTCATTAAAAAAGTTGTCCAACTTGATGACGTGACAGAAAGAAGGCAGAGCTTTCTGTGACTTGAGAATATCGTTCTGATTATAAAAGTGTTCACTTAACAAAGCCCCCTTTTATAAAGCCACGACCGATTTATCTGCCAACCGATAATATCGGCCGACATTAGCATATCCAGTGACTATCAGTATCGGCTAATTTTATCGCAGATATATGCTCGTATTAGTTTTATTCACCAGTCAAATAGCATTTCATGTGAGTATCGTTGGGTTACACTAGCAGTTGTCTTTCTGGCTGTCACCAGCAGAGTGCACTATATGGACCATAACAGGCATTATCACTCTCCAGACTGTCAGGTGGTGAAGCACGTACATACACAGTTACTTCCTGGTTGAGTGGCCATCATTTCTACGTTATACATCTTTTCATTGATGGATCAACGCAACAAATGTTTATATCTGTATATCTTATAACATAGATCTACAAAGTTATTGGCTGATATATTGGTATCGGATATATCGAAAACAATGATTTCCTGCATTGGTTTACAGAAGTTCGGCTTTTTATTCCAGCTTCATTGTTCACATCAGGAATAGATATAATCTTATTTGTCGAAGTTCAACTAAAGCATGCAGACTTATTCCACTGAAACTGGGATGATTGGCAGAGGGATGAATAAATCAGTAAATCTTTGAATAATAAAAAAAATGCAGACAGAATTAGCACTGCTTCTCATCCAAACCTGCAGGATGTTATTACTCACTCCCAAACACTCGGCATCATGCGGAGGTGGAGCTGGAGTTCCTCCTCATGATTCACACACACCGGATCCTCTGTCCATTCAGGCACAGATAAATACCATTTTACTCATTTTCATGGCATCTTTACTTGTGTGATTTGATGCATCAGCAGCAGGTGATGACAGTGTGTAGAGGGAGAGACAGCAGACAGCAGACACAATAAAAAGTGTGTGTGTTTCTCACACTCTCAGCTTCACTGTGACATATTTTACATTTAAACCAAGCAGACGTAAAGCCAGGGGTTGTTTTCTGCAGGAGGAAGACA